TTAAGGATAAAAATGGAACAAATGCTAACCGGGTGGTGGATAGAAACATGGTATTTAGTAGGGATGGGCGGTGATTTTTAAAATATTCAAATAGTCGTTATATTGAAAAAAAAATTTAATTTCAGGTTTTGTCTTTAAAATACCATATCTCTGGCCTGTTTGGGGATCAGCGTGAGGTTTCTCGCCTTACTCATCCCCAAAGAGACCAGAGACATGGCCTTTCTCAGCTGAATGCTAATGCACTCAGATCCATCCTCCTCCCAAATACCAGATGTTTCCTCCTCACTGCCTGGGAATAAAAGTTAGTTTAAAACTGTTTGCCTTTTGGAGTTCATCACAATAAAACTAATCTTTCCAAGGTGCTTTCTTGCCTTGTGCCAACCATAAGGGATAACTTCAGCAGGGCACTTTTGTGGACTGTACAGTGGTGGTAGAAACATGGCATCAAGGTATATTTTGCACCACAGTATATCACACATCCAAAGAGAGAAATAGTAACATCAAAGTGCTTCTAAAATCTTTGTTAATGTGCAAGGCTGAGCAGTTTGTTTTGAACCCCATGAGTTTACAGTTTGGTATGTTCTGTTTTTCCATGTATCGGTTTTGGAGAAAGTGATGTTGGTGGCATCTGTTCTGGGACAGAAGATAATGCTCCCATTCAGACTTGGTTTTAAAATGTGTCTGAGTGAAAAGAAGTAGACAGCCGAGACACACCTTTTACACTTGTCAGTACACTACAAAAGATATATGGTCAAATGCGTCCCATACCACCTCAGCAATTGGCTTCAGTGATTGGATGACAATCTGTCTTGGTGGTTGTTTACACTTGTTTAGCACTGTGCGCTTGGATCTAATCACCCAGGATGCATTTTAAACTAGGTCTAAACAGGATCAGGGACACCACGATTAATGCCATTTTTGCTTGCTTGTATTGACCTGTCAACTCAAAAGCACTGCAAGGCAGAATGTAGTGGCAGGATCTCAAAAGACATGAGAGGAAAGCAGAGAATAACTAAGACACTATGACTGAACTTTAATGATGACCAGTTAAAAATCAGTTACATCCATATTAAAGGTTTATCAATGTTAAATTTGCATAATAATAATAATAATCACCTTGCCACCCTGGGAGGCAACAGTGGTGCAGTGTGTAGAGCAGTTGTCTACCAACCAGAGAGTTGGAAATTCAAATTCAAAAAAGGCTGAAAATCAAAACATCTTGGCTACTTCTCATTGCAAAATCAGTGCCCCCAATGGTTAGAGCCATCAGCGTGAGTTGGTCTGTACTTAACTGGTGACACAATACTTAACTGAGTTAACTGCATAAACTCATTGATGATGTGGACAGTGGTAAAGGTGATTATCCTTTATTTGGACAAGTAAGTTATACAAATTCCTTATGTGTGTTTAACACAGTTGCCCCCCCCGTCATGAGTCGTACTTAAAAAAGGTTGAAAATCAAAACATCTTGGCTACTTCTCATTGAAAAATCAGCATTTAAAACCTATTAAGCTCAATACTGTAATTTCTCTGTATGAAATGAACTGGTGACAATACTTAACTGAGTTAACTACATAAACTCATTGATGATGTGGACAGTGAGATAGTTGGAGTGTATCAGTATCTAACTTCTAATCATGTGACACAGCTGCCTGCATTTCTGCTTGCTCACAGTCACAGTTGAAGACTATAAATGTCAGATCTCGCACAGTGCAGCTCACTTGATGCTCTCTGCTGTGAGTTTGGTTACAGCAGTCACCATCAGTCAACTGTGTCATCCTTCATTAAACACTGCCCTGTTTTCTTTCATTTTTTTGCATTCAGAGAAACGGATAATGAACCCAGAACAGAAATCTGCTTCAATGTCTAATGCCACATTTGTTCGTCCTGCACAATTTTATATCAGTGGATTTTCCAATGTCCCTCATGCTGAGTATTTCTATGTCTTCCTGTGTTTTGTCTATATGGTGACTTTTCTTGGGAATGGCCTCCTCCTCTCAGTGATTTACCTGGTCAAGACTTTTCATACTCCTAAATACATGATTGTGTTCAACCTGGCTTTTATAGATTTGTGTGGGAGCACTGCTTTCATCCCAAAACTCTTGGACACATTTTTGTTTGACAACAGATACATTGTCTATGAGGCTTGTTTAAGTTACATGTTCTTTGCTGTGTTCTTCACACATGTGCAGTCATGGACACTTGTGATTATGGCATATGACAGATTTATAGCCATTTGTTTCCCTTTAAGGTACCATAATCTTGTGACTAAAAGAGCTATTGCTGCAATGCTGCTGTTTGCATGGGGTTTTGTGGTGACTCTTAGAGCAAGTGCTGTTGGGCTAATCGATCGCCTTTCCTTCTGTGATTCTGTAGTGATACAGAGTTTTTTCTGCGATTATGGACCAACATATCGTCTGGCCTGTAATGATGCATCTTTAAATTCCATAATGGCAAAACTTGCTATAGCTGTAATCATGTGTCTTCCTCCTATATTGATAGTATTGACATATATTTGCATTGCCATAGCACTAAGCAGGATTGCATCAGGAAAGGAACGACTCAAAGCTTTTCAAACTTGTACTGCTCACATGATTGTTGTTGCTGTTTTTTTCCTCCCACTCCTGAGCACCAACATAATTGTTCAAATTTCTTCCATTAGCACTAATACCAGGATCATAAACTCTACTCTGACTTACACCATACCACCTTTGCTCAATCCTATTATTTACTCTTTAAGGACAGAAGAAGTTTTGAGCTCTATCAGGAAACTTTGCAAACCCATTAGGATGAGCAACATCACCTTGTCCAAAAAGGTGACCTCTGTGTCACCACATTGACATTTAGCATACATGTGTTTAAAAACATTGTACTATAAACATCTTAGTATTAAATACAACATTTTAATTTTTACATTTTGGTTATTTTGGTATATTGTCATTTGCTGTTTTTTTACTTTTGCATTAGTCATATAATGATCTGTCTTGCAAAATGAAATCAAGGCATGAGCAGGATGGCAAAAAAGCAGATCTAATTTTATTTGTCGAACTGAAATTTTCAAGTTAATCTCTCAGTAAATTAATTAAAAACACAATTTGCAATTTTTGTACAGTTTGTGTTAGTCTAATATATAAAATGATGGACCTCATTTTCTAAGGTTTACCTCCCAATATTTGTGTGTACAGAAGCAAAAATGCAAAGTTTAATTCATTTAATGATCACATCTATTTTGACTTGGCCTATAATTATAAATTATGCAGTACATGTCCAGCCCTTTTTGAAAGAAGTTGTGTGAAACATTTCATATTTGTCAGTAAGGTTTGTTTATATAGCACTTTGTCAGATCAATAGTCAAAGTGCTTTTCACAAATTATGACTATAGGCTATATTCTATAAAATGGCAATATGATCATAAAAACAGCAGAATAAGAGCACTATAAAATGACTACACAGTGGGATCACTCCTCAAAAGCCATATCGGCTTTTTAAGAAATATCCACTGTATCCACAGATCTTAAATCCACTGGAAGAACATTTCAGAGTTTAGGAGGCACAGTCAGCTTTTGTTTGAAGTCTGGAGCAAGGAACAGCCAACAAACCCATGGCCGATTGTTTTAGAAACTTAATAGGTACAGGACATAAAGATGTAGTAGATCTGTGATATAGGCCTGACCATGCAAGTCTCTGAATGTGACTTCAAAGATCTTTAAGTGAGTTCTGATTTTATTGGTGACCTTATGTAGACAGTTAAAGAATAGGTGTATTACACTGCCCTACATTTTATGCCCAACCCCAATCAA